CTGGCGCTAAAAAGTAGTTTTTCGTGATCAGCAGCTCACACTCTATCGAATGATGTAAAAGAAAGGTGAAAAAAATTTTGCTTGAAATTCGCATTGCCAGCACTATATATATAACATATTTATTGTTCACTGTGCCGACGACGAATGGGTTCGTTGAAATATAAATTATTTTAAATAAAATAAGTTCAATTCACTTTTACACGTCGTATATTGGACAGAGATGGAATCACAACCAGACAGTGAGTAGTAAAGCAGACCGAAATTCACAAAAAATTTTAGGCAAAGAGTACATATGAGCTTTCTGCGAAAGAAAAGTACTCTCAAGTTGATTTTCTGCGGAAATTTTGCAGAAAATGTATTCTTGATGCTATCTATCTATTTTTGCCAGAAAGAGGGATAATATGACTCAACTGTTTGCATTGCTATCACTAATCAATAAGTATGCATGCATCGCGGAAAGAAAATTTTGAGAAATTCATCTTCTTAAATTTTGTTTATATATAGGTTGTACGAAAGCGAGAAAAAATATTTTTCAGCAGAAAAACGTAGAAATACAGCGGAAAAAAATTGGCAGAAAGGATCCGAATTTAGCGGGGGGAAATCCCCCCCCCACCCCCCCCCCTAATCGGCAAGCCTGAGCATGCGTTATAATTCTTGTTTCGTTTTAAACAATCAAGGCAAGTTTGTGTCTCAGATGTAAATTCTTAGTGGAGTATGTAGATGAACATTTTGAAATCTCCGGTATCTGTGATAGCCGAGATACATGAGACGGCAGACTTTTGTTCACTAGTGTAATTTTGAGTATAATAGATAGAAAAGAAATCGAGGGTGACACCTATAGTGAAATTTACTTTATAGAGATGATACTCAACGGATGGAAAAAGCTGAACACCTATTAAGATTAACAAACTAAAACATTTATAATCAACTACAACACCAAACTATTTTTTCAAATGGTAGTTCAAGAAGTACATGTGGTGGTATTTGTTGTTGTAAATGAATAATATGTAAATCAGGTGCTGGATTCAATTGAGATTTAACTTCAAGAAATATTCCTGGTAATAATAAAATTTCATCTTCAGTAGTAAAATGAGAATGAGAACGAACTGTTCGACTATTAATTGTTTCAATTGAAAAGAGAGTTCTTGTTTCAATATTTCCCAAATACAAATCAGATTCAAGAACTCTTAATGATGTTGTACATGATGAAAATGCCCACCATGTTATTTTTTCACCTGGTGGACAATCTTTACTAAGATCTAGACGTAAACCGCGCCAAACTGTTTGACGAGGAGCTGCTGATATTTCAGCTAATGCTGTAAGAAATAACTTTAAATATCAAAACCATGGACGAAGTTTTTTTCGATCTATTTTTTTGAGAGTTCGATTAAGATATACATAGAGACTTTCGCTTAGTTCGCTAGAATCAGAATCCCATTCCATTGTATATAGACGAATAGTAGCTGATCCATCTTGTGTAAGATCATCCGGAGAATTTTTTGGATTTTGTTTAGCAATCCACATATGAACTGGTAAACGTGAAACAATATTAAGTAGTGGTTCATGATCATAGCTGGATATTAATTGTAATAATTGCTTTGGTTCATCCCTGATACTAGATATATAACATAGATTAATACAGGGTGCTCCAAAAGTCCATTTCTAGAAGGTGTTTCGTTCTATTTCACGATTAACTAGACTTCATTGAATAACTTTTTTTTACAATAGATAAATAAACAAAGTTTTTATTTCTACGAATAAATTTCCAAAACATTATTAAAAGCTGAGATCTTTAATTAGGTCGAGTTGTTGAGTGATTCGAATCTATAAATTGTTCAATACTTAAACGATCTTTTCACAAAATCGTATCTTGGTATGTTGAGACAAAACGAAATGAATGGTATTAAGTCGAAGTCCAAGCAATTAAAATACATACCATTCATGAGCATTCTTGAAGAAAGAACATAGGGTAAGTTTTTCTATTTTAGCTTAAAATTGTAGCTTCCAACAATGCCTATGAAACTTGTCTGTACAACTAAATACTCATTGTATCTATCTCTTATTCAAATAAACGTTATTCAATGAAGTCCAGTCAATAGTGAAATAAAACGTAAAACACTTTCCAAAAGAAACCTTTGGGACGTCCGATCTATTTCGATTAATTGATGCCTGTAGGTTGATGATTACAAGTATTATCTTATTATTTGTTCTGATAATTCAAAAAGAAACAAAAACACGTTTTATTTGTACTAAACTGATAAATGAGAAATCAAGCGTATAACGCATCAACTAACATGATCTCGTTAGAAGGCATTGTGTATATAAAGGCCACTGTTTAAGTCTCGAAGAAAAAAAATGAATGATGCATGCGACTGTCAAGTAAATGAATTATTATTCACGTTTGAAAATATTTTCATGTGAGACAATAATAGAATTATGAATAATCATTAAAACGAATATATAACGTTTGAAAGATAGTCTGAATACTATTGTTTCTTATTAATACAGTGATGCAACTATTCATATTGGACTAATTGTATTCTATTCTTCTAGTAAAAACAAATATAAAATTATCGCTTTTATTCAAACAGTAAATTTCTGATCCAATCAATATCAACGGACTGAAAAGTAGAGGATTTATTATGAATGTTTCGGAAGATATTATTTATTTTGTAATGACAAATAAAACGTAATTACCATGGGAAATGTACTGATAATATACATTTTATATGATAAATTCATTTTGTGAATTTTAGTTCCGAAAGAAATTCATAACATATATAAAAAGCTCAAAGATATTAAAAAAATCATTCTTTCTCACACTTTACATAACAAGATCGAAATGAATTATGGTTTGATAATTTGTTGCAAGTCACTATCTTGTAGTTCACGTGCAAATACAAACATTTCGTCCAACGAACCCGTAAATGTTTGTGATATAGGAATTCCTTCAATACCATCGCAATTTGCTGCACCATTATATGTGCCAAGTGTTATTGTCATTGGAGA